GGGGTCCCTCTAAATCATAATTCATACCAGTCCTTAGCTACAAAGTCGCAAACAACGCTACGTTCCGTCAGGGTTGACTTCAGTGCCACTGCTGCGCAGGATGAACCTTTGCTTGTGCTACAAAGGCCTGTTCAAGTCAACTCTACCGCAGGCGTCCTAGCCCTCACGAACTCTATAACCCCATGAATCCAAGCATACTCCCGCCTCAAGCCTGTATGCTAAAACCCTGATCAAAAGAAATCCCGACAGATCTTACGCTGATGCAGAAACCCACAATCCTTCGGTCGCAGGAATGAAGGCTTAAATCAAGACAGTTGGAGGTATTCGTAATTCTTGTTCTGTTGCCTCTGCTCGGCTGTTTCAGTGCCTCAATCCTAAACATGGCCCAAGATGCACTGACCTTGGCAATACCAGCAAATGCTCATGTTTGCCAAGGTAGACATATTAGCAACCACGGAACCAGCCCACCCCGAGCCCTCACCGCTCCAAAGCACGGAGAAGCAGCAGCAACCTCCCAGTCCGCCGCCAACTGGCAGAAAGCTTCGGATTTAGGGCTAATACGGCTGATCATCTAAATCCTGCACTCCCGAACAGGGAATATACCATGATTCCCATTGTTTAGGTCCTTAAGGTAATGCAGGGTTTATACTGGTGAAGTGGTCTAGGGAGGGTTTTTAGGGCTTGTAGGCTGTAGGATGTAGCCTTCAAGAGTCTTTAGCAGCTCTCGGGTTTCAGCTGTGCAGTTGGGGTTGAGAGTGTAGTGCTGCCGGTTTAGGGGCTGCGGTGTCATCGGGACTTCAGCCGAAGGTCATCTGTATTATATTCCCAAAGGCTCCATGTACCTTTATAGTAGATACATAGGCCCTAAAGGGGTTCCTATATATAGGTACTTTAAGGCCTAAGTATATACTATAGGGGCACATGGAGCCTTAGGGATTGTGTTCCGGATCAAGGCTTGCAAAAGATTCGACTCGCACACCCCGCACACAGCTGGCACGGATCCACGACGGGTTCACTCAGCTTGCTACCTTCACATGGCAGAGTCCACTGCAATCAAACAAAGGTAGCTTACGATGAAAAGAGACATGTAAGACCCTAAAACCATGCGACCACCCGGAAGGAGAAAGGAAATGTGCGTAGCAACTTTCCCAGAAGACTGATGGCTATCGGCTCGTGGAAGTCCACATCAAACGTTTATGATTCGATGCCTTGGCCCCCCGCCCCGCCCCGCCAACCCTAAGCGCCTTCCGTTCATGGATTCCTCTCGCTCGGTCCAAGGCCCGAGTTTCAGGAGTACAGCTGAGGGTGGCAAGGCTGGGTTTAGGTATGGGATGTGGACGTGGAGTTGAGATTTTTGCCTACTGCATTGCATGATGGCCCCTCTCTACGCCTTGGGCGAGCAGCGCCGGTTCTTCCCACCACTCCAGTTCTCGCTGAATGCGATACGGATCGTCCTCGACTTCTTTGCGGCCGGTGTAAGGCAGGGTTTAGCAGGGCAGGGCTTAGAACACCTGTGCAGGCTTAAGGCAAGGGTTTCGACTCTCACAATCGCACAAGGCAGGCAAGTCGGGGGTACCTCAAACTCGCCAGCACCTGTCATGTCTTTTCAGGCCTAGTGCCATCTCAGGACACCGATGCCGGCACCCAAAACGTGCTCCCTGTATTCTTGACGCTGTCCTCTCTCTTATTGCTTCCATCGTTGACGCCAGAATCAGGGATTGGGGTCTGAGTCGGTCCTGGCCCATAACCCTAAACTCTAAACCCTGAGCCCTACATACCAAAGCCTTAAATCCAAACCCGAGATGTTTAGGGTTTCACCCGTGCATCAGCTTGTGGATCCTTTTAGCTTCGTGCAAGGTTAGCATGGTTACATGGTTGGAAGGATGGACAGTCTTCGGGGAGCTGGCAATGCCAGCGCAGAGTTTTGGAATGTAGTTGGGTCTTGTGGAAGTGATATTTCAGGGGGCATATATGTGTTCGGGCACTAATATGTCAGGCCAGTCGCGCATTGCACGTCGCCCAGGTAGATGATGCCCGCCTCAGGCCGCGGGCAAGCGTCTAGGTCGAGTTTCGGCCCCTTGTGCGAAGTCGTCATACACTAGGACCCTATGCACTCTAAACCCTTACAACCGCCCCTGAATCCTGAACATCACGGCGCCCCCAGGAAGTCGGCTGGTGGCACTTGAGTATGGATCCGAAACTGAGAGAATGAGCCTTGATAAGTCGAGAAGTGCATTGCTTGTAGCCTCTCGGATTCGGGGTCACTACAGAGTACGAGCCATTGGGACATCAAGGGCTGTGAAGGCTTGGACGTGACGGATTAAGCAGCTCCATGAGCCCGCATACCTCTGAACCGAATCCTCACCAGTGATGAAACCTCGGAGACGCTGGTTTCCCCAACTTAAAAACTTAAAAGCTTTCGTCTCCAGCAGCTTCGAAGTGACAAGTGAGGCTTCATACGATGGCCGTGTACTCCGAAGTCTTCATGCTTGGAGTTTCAAGCTTCATTGCCTCTAAGGCGTTAGGTGCTCCGAGAGTGCATCGAAGCAACGTCCGCGGCGACCAGGGTGCTGGAAGTTTCAGAGATTGTGGTGGTTTCCTTAGGAAGCAGCCAATGTAACGGGTTATTGCTTCCAAACGACTGAGCCATCGCAGAGATATCGGGACGTTAAATGTATCACAGTTCTCCGGGGCTCGCTGCTATCTTTTCGCAAGATTTTTCGATTACTTCGAGGTTACGGGAGGGGTGCGGGTTCAGGCTTCAGGCTCTAGGGTTTGGGGGTTTACGGTCTTCCAGGTTCAGGGCTTGGCTTGTGGCATTCATTGGTTGTGATGTCTATAAGGTTTCGGGTCTGCAAACCATCTCGAGCTGTTTGGTAGTGGAACGAAAAGCAAGTGTCCCATGTTTGTCAGAATCTCCCTGAATATGCCACAGCCGTGACTTGAGCTCGTGCCATCAGGACGTCTCCTTCGTAAAGTCGGGCCAAAATTGCAATCAGTCATATCCGTTATGGCATAGATAATAACTGCAGGGCTAAACGCGGTTTTGCCACAACTACATTTGCCGCATCTTACCGTTTCTGAGGTCGTCTTGCTCCCAGTCTCGATGTCAGGCTCCTGTGTCAACGCCGCCGCGAAGGTGGTAGTAATAGGCCTGGGGCACAAGCTCTCGCTAATGTGCGGCGCATGACGACTACATAGGGGAGCTACTGTTACGCAACGAACCCATGAAAGCTATAGGGCTTAGCGAAAGCTGAGCGCTCAGCCAGCTTAGCCATCCCAAACCGTAAACCACCACAAGTTATCCTGTCAGTGCAACTGGTGTTCCTTTCCACGGAGCTCGGCCCGTAGGATTGAGCATGCCCGAAAGGTCATGAAGAGTATAGATGGGAATATACAGCACGCTTTGGTTAATCTGTGTGCGTATGTAAAATATGTGCATTTACATATCCCTTCCTGTTTCGAAGGGGGTGAAAACTTTAGGACACGGGCCCGAGCCTAGTGCCACTCGTGCCAGCGATGTCCCGTGCTTGTCAGTAAGGCAGTGGTTGTCAGTGTTTCAATAAGGCGAAGCGATTCGGAGAAACTGATGCAATGCAGAAACAACAACCCAAATGATGTTCAATTGGGTCACTAACGCACGCCCAGCGTGCAACGTGTCTGCATTGGGAAGCTAATTTCCCACCCTAAACCCTAAACCCTAAACCCTAAACCCTAAACCCTAAACCATGGCTCTGGGGATGTAGGCTGCAGGTTTGAGCATGTAAGGCCCAAGGTTACCAGTCAAATCTGAAGGATGCAGAATGCCATAAATGGGGGGTTTCCGAAAATAGGGGACCCCAATATCGTACCCCTAAATAGTAGGATCCTTATTATAAGGACCCCCCAAATAAGGTACCCCTTATTGTAGGACACTCCCAAATCTGAAGGATGCAGAATGCCATAAATTGAAGGGCTGTAAACCTAAGTAAATCACAAGCTGCGAAGACCAAGCTCGTAGCCTGAAGCCGATTATCCCTGCTAAGTAGTTTAGGGTTTAGGGTATAGGGGTTTGGGGTTTAGGGGTTTGGGGTTTAGGGGTTTAGGGTTTTAATTTTAGGGTTTAGGGGTTTGGGGTTTAGGGGTTCAGGGTTTTAGGGTTAAGGGTTTAGGATAAACATCTACATGAGTTCTACCACCCTGAACGCTGAAATTACGTGGATGCAGCTCAGTGCGCGGCAGCGTTCGCAACCAGGGCTCCTGGGAGGTCGTCGACGTCACCAGTCGGTCCTCTGGAATGTGGGGGTTCAGTGTTTCGTGACCTACGGCTTATAGGGCTTAGTCGGTTTAGGGTTCAGGTTCTAGCTCTGGGGTTCGGGTTGTAGGGCTGGCTTCTGGTTTTGGGTTAGTTTGGGATTCAGGGCTTCGGGTTTCTGTGACGCAGCCTGGACCAGTGGCGAAACGTGCTGGCAGAAAAAGTCGCAGCCGCCCTATGCTAGGGACAATGCAAGACAACTGATCAGAAGACGTCGGACAGAATCACGTCGGACGCTCGGCAGACCTCTCTACGAGAGGTTTCGTGGGTTCTGTATGGTTTGGTTAGGTTAATTCTTGGCACCCGCCGGACCTTCAAGCCCTGCACAGCCATAATTCCTGTACGCCGTGAGCTTACAGAAACAACCAGCTGCTAGCGCCACCCTGCTGCTATGTGAACGGTCCTGGCGACTAAACAACTTAAATCGTGGGCTGTTTCCCCCGGCCGGGTCCGCCGGAGCGCTACAGAGGAGCTGCACCGCAGCAGATGCCTTCACATGGAGACGGCTTAGGGCGTAGAGCAGGGGATCCTGTCTGTTTAGATTACGTTGGCTTCATGTGGGCTGCACAGGAGACACTGTGTGCACCTAGCTTGGGACCGTCGGGTTCAGGTAGTCTCCTGCCAAGGATTGAGCTCAAGGCTTCCTCGTCAAAAGAAATGCTGTGCAAGGCTCGGGGTGCAAGGTTTGTGGCGAGCCCAACACCGGTTGTTGGGTCTAGGGCGTTTAGGTTTAGCAGACTTCTGACTCATGGTTATGGACCTCAAGCCCCCACTAAGGAACCTAAGCCCGAAAGACTAAGCCCTCAAACATGCAAAACGGTGCTATGCCGTACCTGCATCCATCGTAGTTGCTTGGTTGGTCCACCAGCTTTGCGATTAGGATGCGATCAGAAACGAACAAAGTAAGCCCAAAAAAGGACTATAATGGAGACAATACTAAACCCGAAACCTCTATAGAACCGAGAACGAACCCTGGAGCCCTAACGGAACCCTCGAATCCCTAGAAGGCTCTATAAACCCTCTGTAGAACCCTGCAGCCTTACAGGGAACCCGATGCCCAAACACCCACAGGAACCCTTACGGGACCCCGGACCCTGAAGGGAACCCTTCCTAAACCCTAAACCCTATACCCTAAAGCCCTAAACCCTAAATCCTAAACCCTAAACCTTAAAGTCCCAAACTTGCAGGCGGAAGCCTCGGTTGCGGCAGGTCCCGTCGTGGAAGCCGGCCTTTTGATGTTTACGCTCTCGCAACTCGGACTCTGCCAGGGGAGGTCTCTCTGGGGTGATGTTTAGGGTATCGGGTTGAGGGCTTTTGGGGCTTATTTGTGGTCTCGGGGTTAGGGCTTGCATCGGGCTGCAATGTTGGAGGGGAATCTTAGGGGTGATATTCCGAGGAAAAATGTGTTGGGGCTTAGTGGAGTCATGCTGGGCTTGTAAGGTTTAGGAGTATCAGTATAGGGCATGCGCGGTTAAGGTGAATTTGGTATATTGTAGAGGGCTTATATACAGGGTTTAGGAGTTTTTGCCGTGTCGGTCCGGGGCTAGGGTTTCAGATCAGGGGTTGAGGATTTCTTAGGTGTACGGGTGCGGGGTCTGGGTCTTGGTTGCTATGGGGCTGGCAACTCGGTTTTGCGACTTGGTTTAGAGGGATTCAGGTCATGGAGGCATCGGTTTGTTGGAACTTGGGCATGCCAGGAACAAGAAGGAGGCAGCTCTGAACAAGCAGTCCTGACTGTCATATTCTAACTACAACATGATTTCTTAAGTTGAGCAAGGCAGAGTGATGCCAAGAACTGTTCCAAACATCTAACAATATGGCAAACCAGGAGGACACTCCGGGAAACCCTCAAAAACACAAATGCCCAGGAGCTCGTCGACAGTAGTGTTGCCTCAGAAGCACAGGAAACTCGGCCACTGCTTTCTTATGGCCGGCAGCTCTTAGAGTATCGTAGGGTTATGGGTTTCAGGATTCATCCGCCCTGGACCCTGGGCGAAGGACCACCAGCGCCCCCCCCCTTCTGCTTCTACTCTGAGGTTGTGGGGTGATGCCAGCCTGTGTAAACAGAATTTGCGAAACTCAATAAGTATTGAGAAAAGCTCAATTCCACTACAGTATCCACTCGTCTCTTCGACACCTCACATCTACAATCTAATTCGCTTATAGGTTCATAGGGCACATGAACATTGTTAGGCGAAATTGCCCGAATGCCTGAACCAGGAGTCTGAGCACGCTGCCTGCATGAAGCCCCCGATTCAAGAAGACGTGCGCGATGTCACAAAGCCTCAGTGAACGGAGAGCTGCAAGAACCTCCACATAGTATCAGCCGCACTGACCCTCACCATGAGGAACTCCAGATTTCTGGCTTAAGACTCTGGGCAGCTTTTATCTCCCTGCAGTGCAAGCTTGAAAACCAATTCCGCAAGTCTCAAGATACTAAAAGGCTCCACGCAAGCCAGGGGGCGGGCAATAAAAGCAGCCCACTGGCCAATTGTTCTCCTGACTTTTGGGGGATTTAGGGCTCTGGATTGGATTCACGGTTGAAACGTTTTCAATGTTTGGGGTCTCGTCTAGGATGTTTGGGCTCTTTCGGGATTCTTACCTTGGACCCTGCAAACTGTAGTTAGGCCCGCAGACCAATGCTATGGGTCCAAAAATTAGGTGCAGAGGGGTCCAGGTAAGGTCTGGGTGCTGGGGTCATGCTACTAGAACTAGGAGGTGTAGAATGCAGGGTTAGCCGTGCCCAAAATGCTCAGTCCTAAGCGGTAATGGCGATATCACAAGGCAAAATCAACCGACCTGACCGCACTGCCCAACCCCTGAACCTTGACCCAACACTGATCCTTAGGGGCGACCCCAACTCTACATAAACCCGATATCCCTGAACCCCTGAACCTCGAAACCCTTACACAACCCAAACCTCAAAAGCCTTAAAAACCAACCCAGGGGTCCACGCTGCCCAAAGCCGCAGGCCAGTTGACCACAGCCACTGTACCATCGAAGACCAGGGCCATCTCTTTGGCTGCCCGTTCCTTGCTTCTTTGCGCGTTCGGTCTCTGCTTTTCTTGTTTTAGAATGTCTGTAGTCAGGGTTTAGGGTTTCGGCGCTCACACTCGGACACTCCAGGCGAGGCATATGGTTCGAGGTCATCAAAGGAGTGAGACAAGACTCACACCCAGGTTTAGGGTTTAGGGTTTTGGGGCTCTGAACAAGTTTGTCTCGAGATTGCCTCGCCATCCGGCCAGCTCTGCTCAGGAAGTGTGTCGGAGCCGAGACGAGCCCTCGAAACGGCAGGATCTTGTGACAGTCGCATGACGTGCGTTGCCAAGCCCTCGACTCAAAGAGTAATATATGGGCCTTAATAATTTGAATAGGGTTTTGGGGCCCATTATGCTATGATTATAATAAGGAACCCCCAAAATAGTATACGACAATATTTAGGCCCCTGCGTTACCTTCTGCTTCCTCCGTCAACCTATAGCTACACTTCAGGCTCCTCGGGTTTCCCGCGATGTTGGATTTGGGGCTTTAGGACGTAAGCTCGTGAAGTCAGCATCCTCCTATAAAGCAATACAGGGATGCAAGTTGCTGTAAGTATCTTATCGACTGCTTTGTTCATGGCCAACAAACCCTGTATGCACAGGCCTTCATGTGCTGTACCGGCAACAGACGCCCTCTGCCAAGGATCACAAAGCGCGGCGTCCGAAATCAGGTTGTAGCCCTGTCGGCAGCGGCCGCGTCCCAAGCGAAACTCTTCGGTGAACATGGAGACATTCCCAGCAGCCTCCCAATCAGGAGTGCTTCAAGCTGTTGGGGCCCCACGGCTTACACCTTAGAAGTCAGGATTTGGCATTTTGGGGGGTGATTCAGTCTTTGGGTTTGAGGAGTCAATGCCGCTTTTGGGGTTTGGGCTTCGGATGATATATATATATATATATACACACACACATCAACTAGGTAGATTACAGATGCAAATACATGTACCTGCTTATATATATATATACATATATACATATATATATATATGTAGACATGCATATATATATATATATATTTACACATACACACAGACACACACGTACATACATGCATGCATATAAATGTGCTATTGCATTACATTCCAGGGTTGTACTGCTCTATTGCATGAGTACATACATACTCGCATGCATGCCTGCTTCCCTCCATGCCTGCCTGCCTACCTGCCTGCCCCTGCCTACCTACCTACGTACCTACCTCACCCTACCTGTGTGCTTATGTGCATGCATGCATGCATGATGAACACATTCTTAGCGGAGTCTAAAGTCTGCTGCGCAATTTTGAGAGAACGCCATCCTCCGTCGTACTCCGTAGGGGTCCATCCGAGCAAATAGCAGCTGCCAAGGGAGCTGCGCCTTGGGTAAGGCAGATTTCGGGCACAAGATAAATGATCAGATAAGGTTATAAGGGGGATGGGCGTTTAGGGTGTTTCGGCCTGTGGGTATTGTAGTTCAGGGCTTCTCCCAGCTTCCGGGCTTGGGTTCCTACACGGACGTCGTGTGCGAGCCTTCTGGGGGGCTGACATGCCGAAGATGCGAAAGTCTGAAGTGAGGGTATACGTAGCTTTTGCATCAACTGTTCGTACAATGAATGATCTTCCTTCGGAGACAGGTGAGTGGGAACCTACAACTCCGAAGAATCGAAACCGTAATTTACATGGGGGCGTTCCCTGGAGGCCCTGTTCAATCATAAACCTCAAGCTACGAAGGCCCGAAAGTCCAAGTCCCTTCAACATCCCTTCGTGCTGCATCCTACTGAAGACCAAAGCCAAAGCCCCAACACCTTCAACTCAAACTCGTTGGGATTAATAAGTGCCCGAACTTCAATCCCTCAGGGTGCCGAGTTTCCTGGCTTCTCTAGCACTCCTGCCCTCGAACGTAAGCAAAGTGACAAACAAAACAAGGGTGTCGGATGTACCTTTGGCTTGTTACTGTCGAGGTTTAGGGCTGATTGTTGCTCAAGCAGTGCGGAAGGGTTTATGGCTTGCAATCCGAGAGTTTAGGGCCTGAGGTTCAGGTTTCTCTTGGGGTCGTTCTGGAGATGTAGAGACTCCAAACTAGCCCTGTGCCCCACAAAAGGCACAGGCGAGACGCCCTGCAACGAACTTGTTGGCCAAAGATGCGGATCGTCTCCGTAGCCGTCTCTTCTATGGAGGCATTGTTGAAATACAAATCCTTAGGTATGGCTGGAGCGATCGGTTCTGCAAATGCTAGATTGGACCAACCCGGTGGGCTGCTGAATACCGTTTCGTACAGCCAGGCTGTTCAGGGACTCCCTTACCGACCATGGTGAACAGCAGCACCTACTCCAGTTTTTGGCAACAGAATAGCTCGGAAGTAAATCAAAATGTCTAGTCTACATCATATTCAAGGCTTAATCAGTGTTGGCGAGCCGCCGGCAGTTTCCTCAACCACAACTCTATCCAGCACGCACGCATATTGGGGCATCGCCTGCATCACCAATTTGTCAGTTCTAAGTCTGCGAAACAAATCTGAGGACAATCCTAGCTTACTACGGTACCTGAGAATGAAATCAAATGGCCTGCGAGAATGCCGGCTGTTGGGAAATTCTACATAATAGTTTTTAGGGTTTATGACGCTAAACCCTATAGGCCCTAAACCCTAAACCCGATAGGTCATGGGTTGAGTTAAAGGAAACTACATTTGGAGAGTTTAGGGTATATGGACCTTCTATAAGGCTTCTATAAGGCATACAGACCTTCTATAAGGCTCCTATAACGGGAACTACCCACCTGAAAATGTCCAAGATTGAGGGTTTCCTCGAATCGGAATCTCCTGAACCGTGGGACTTCCTAAATGTCCCAAAGCCTGCAATGCCTGGGCTCTAAAGGTTTTTGTGAGGCTTGGAGGGTTTAGAGTCTAAATCCTCCAAGCCTCACAAAAAAACCCAATGTAGGAGCCTGAATCTTTAGAATAGGGTCTGGGGTATACTTTGCTATAATTACAAGAAGGAACCCCCAAAACAGTATAGGTAATGATTTAGGCCCCTATATTAGGCCCCGTTGACAAGGCTCCCCTTGATCGCACTCCTGGCAGAAGAAGCAGTTGGCCGGATAGCCGGGGAAGTCGACAACAAGAACCTGACAGATGGGGGTTTAGGGTTCAGGGTTTAGGGCTTAGGGGGCTTTAGAAGTGAAGGTTTCAGGTTTCGACTCTCACTCTCGCACAAGGGAGGCAAGGATCAGGTTTCAGCACTCACACTCGGACAAGCCTAGGGTACCGTTTAGGGGCTTCGGGTTTAGAAGGGTTCAGGGGTTTCTCAACTCGCTGCCGCCTGAGGGATGGCCACGCCCAGGTAGAATCCTGCAGTCTGGCAATCCTTGGCTGGACGGTGTGTACGGATTCTGAGCATGATAGCCCTAGCCCTAAATCAACCCGCACATAGGATTCTCAGAAGAATCCTCCTAAAGCCTACATGGCCCCAAACCTTACAGGGTAGGGTGTATACTGCTCAGCTTCAGAACTGTAGGATTTGAGGGTTAGGGCTGGAGGTTTGGGCTTTTGGGTCGAAAACGTTCAGGGCTCAGGGTCCAGACATAGGGATTCAGGGTTTAGGGTCTGGGGTTGAAGAGGCGTGTTGTGGGCAGAGGGATCGCAGTAAGGGCTAGGACATTCTAGGAGCCAGGAGATTGGTTATTCAGGGGTGTTGCTATAATTGACGGAGGTTTTTCTGTTGGGCGTAAGAGTTGGCACGAGCAGGGTTTCCTGGACTCGGGACGTAGACACGATGTTATCAGTTTGGGGGGCGGGGGGTTCGGGGTGCTGCATTTTGCGTTGGGGGCGCTTTGGGATTTTGAGGCTGGGCTTCGATTTACCTGGAAGCCTCTCTCATGCGAACTGCCTGATGCATCCAACCAATATAGTGACTGCCGCAAGAGATGTTCTTCAACTCTAAAGCAAACCTAGTGCCCTAACAGTAACTATTTTTAGATTACGGATCTAGAAACTAAACTATAAATCCACTAAAGCAAAGCCAGTGCCCTAACAGTAACTTTTAGACTACGGATCTACAAGCTAAACCATAAATCCACACCATGGTGACAAAACTTGAGCTTAAATCCTTCAGATCTACAAGCGAAACCACAAATCCACACCATAGTGGCTAAACTTGAGCTTGGGTGCTTCTGGAAGCTCCAACGGCAAGAGCCCATCCCGGCACACCTGGAGAAGACGGCATCTGCCGTCGCGATTGCCTAACCCTAAAACCCTAAACCCTAAACCCTAAACCGCCTAACCCTACAACTTAAATCTCCGAAAGATGGGATCTCCTTATAGGCCAGGGTTCTTGGAGGGAAGGAGAGGAGCGGGGATTGGGACACCTTGGAACCGGCCTTGAAACTGCTCTAAGAATTTTGGAAAGCCCTCTTCAAGAAGAGGCTTTTGAAAAAGCCCCGGCAACCAGAACCAGGAATGTCCAACAATCTGACCAGCCCCAAACCCCAAGCTCGACAAGTACCTCAACATCACAAAAATATCAGCCAGGCCTTTTGGTCTGTAACATGCAGGATTGCTCCACATCCAGCACTCTACCCTCCTTTGCAAACCAGGTTTGCAAATCCGTCAGATCCCAGCACTTCCAGAAAGGTGCACCGGACATCTGAAGCGCCCATGGATCTCACCGCTTTAGGGGGTTTTTACGTCTTGCGGAGTTCGGGTCCGTTTAGGTATATGGGGCGTCAGGGTTTCGGGTCTGACCATCTAGCAATCTAGTATAATATGGGGGCCCTAACACTTAGAATAGGATTTGGGGCTTCTTTGTTTGTAGTATATTTATCATAAGGAACCTGAGGGAACAATGTAGGCATTCATTGAGGCTTCCATATTGATATAGTTCAGGGCAAGCTGCAGGAGGTGTCGCCATCATTTGGAAGCGCAGTGGGAAGTGGCAAACCTTCAGCAATTATCTCAGCTTTCATGAGCTTCTTCCTTAAAACAGCGCTGTGACACCCATGAAGCTTGAATACATCTTCTGAAAGGTGGGATGCCTGAAATCAGAAACCCTTGTGAAGGGCGGGACCTTGACATCAAGCTTTGCGGTTCAAGCCCCCAGATCCCTGCCGCGACGTAAGAGGCTGTCTGACTAAAGAGACCACAGCCGTCTTCGTTTTCTTCCTCTGCATTTTCCGTTTGCTAGAAAGCTAGTCGCAGTGTTTACCTTTACCAGCCCTTAATCATGAAACCTTGGGGCTTTAGGACCTCATTCACCCCCGCCTCAGGGAAAGGTCTCTGCGTGAGCGGTGCGTAGAAGATCGATGGAGCCAGATGCCTGGTCGCGCATAGCACCCCCAAACTGCTCCGAGATTTAGGGTTGAAGGGTTCAGGATTTCGGGTTGAAGGGAGGATGGCACTTTGAGCATCAGGATCCCACACCCTATGTCCCTGTGTCTGAAGACCAGGGCTCAAGTAATGATCGCATCCTCGGATTCAGAGAACCCACCCCGAAAACAACGACTTGGTACTCCAAGGACTCTTAGCTAACACATGCTTGCCTTAAGGGGATTTAGAACGAGGTTCGGTCTGTTTGCGCTTTGGGGTTTAGGCTCCAGGAAGCATTCTCGACACTTGTTGCGCACCACATACAGAGGCTAACGACCACGAAGAATGATTTGATGCTACCTTGCACATCTTGGTTGACCGGCGCCCATTCCGGCTGCATAGAGAAGCCTGATGATGCACCCTAAACCCTAAACCCTAAACCCTAAATCCTAAACCCTAAACCCTAAACCCTAAATCAAGTTTCAGCGGGTTTTTTCGAAGAGGCCTGTCAGTTACAATCGGCAAGCCCCGGACTCGGACACTGCCGTCTAGATGCCGCCATGAGAAGAGTGGAATGTGCCAGGTGGTGGCTTCCTGGGCGAACCAGCCAGTTAAAGTACACAATAGACTATGACCGGTTAACATCTGAAGGTTTTGGTTTGCGGGGTAAGCTCAGGGTCTGGAGATGATCTGATATGGCAATACAGAATGCTCGATGGATGCCATTTATGCGCACACACGCAAACAAACGCCAATACCCAACAAAGGCAAACACAAACAACATGACGCACAAACTATCTACCCACCTCCTGACTACCTACCTATGTTCCCATGTTCCTGCCTTCCTACCGACCTGCCTACCGATCGGTTGCCGAGATGCCGCAAGGCTCAAAAAAGGATCCAAAACATGAACTACTCCAGGTCTGGAAAGATTCCAGGCCATACCAGCTCAAAAGTCAAGTCAGTCAGGTAATCAGCGTATTTTCGACCAGCAGGGTCCCACCTTTTAAGAAGAGATGTGGATCATAAGGCGGCCTATGAGTTCATTCTACGCAGACGCAGACGTTTGCACACTTTCGGCCTCGCCGCCCGGCCCCAGAAATCCGAAATCCTCTCAGAAGCCCAGGAGCTGTGGTGAACACTACCAAGATCAGGTGCTCGTCGAACCTGGGAAGCCAGGGCCCGGCTGGGTCTTTGGAGGACCGGGAGGACTTGAGAAGCCACGGGCAACTTGACAATAAGGGCTCTCGGCTTAGATGACTGCAGGAGGTGCTCAGGATGGAGTCCCGATGTCTGAAAATCGGCACCCTCTAGTTTCTTCTGTCATTGAACGCCTAGTCTAAGATGTTCTGGCTTCTCAATAAACATGCAACTTCGGTCTTACAGGGAGCGGCATAGTCGGAGGAGTGAGATCTACCCCTAACCGGGCATGCAGAGAAACTGCAAGCATAAGCGGGCGAAGAGCAAGGTCCGGAGGAGAGGGCAGGGGGATTAGGCAGGGCATGGCAACTACGGCTGAGATTGTCACCAGGACTGGTCAAAAAGTCAGCACAGCACGGCCAGAATCGGGTTGGTTAAGGTTTAGGGTTTAGGGTTTAGGGTTTAGAGTTTAGGGTTTAGGGTTTAGGGTTTAGGGTTTAGCGTTTAGGGACACGACCTGCTCCCCTCCGAAGCCCAGCAGCTGAAGCTGCTCTGGCCCGCCCCAGACGCCATCCCAGGAGAAACGAACCTGGGCTCTTCAGTTGGCCCGGAGAGTCCCAGGGCACCTGGGTTTGGGCAAAGAGGTTCGTTTCGGGATTCCCGAAGTCTGGGGGTTTCCGAAAATAGGGGACCCTAATATAATACCCCTAAATAGTAGGATCCTCATTACAAGGACCCCAAAATACGGTGCCCCTAATTTTCGGAAACTCCCATTTATGGAATGGTCTGGCAGGGCTGATGACGATTCTGGGCTTTGTGTCTCGTAACCCTGTTGTTTCGAGCAGGGACTCCTGCACAGTGCTGCACTGCTATGCCGGAACCCCTCCGACCTTTAATCCAAACCATAATATAACCGCAATCCCTCGCGGCTTGAACTTCGAAAGCTTATAGCTTGCCCGAGTTTCAATGTCAATCGTACTATTGTTTCCTGAATGGTTGAACCCGATAACTCCTCAGCCCTCGAACGAAGGCCCTCGAGAAACTAAGCCACGACCACGCTAATTCAGGGTTCAGGGTTTAGGGTTCAAGTTGTGTTCAAATTACCCCCTGTCGTAGCTTGAGGCTACGAGGCCCACCCAGGAAGCTCCCTAACCCTAATCGCACAGTACCTACATTTTCTGCCAGCAACTTCGGCAAGGCCTTCGCCCACGAACCGCACCGCAAGCCCTGGCTTCATTGGGTGATCCGGGCATAGGGTTTGGAATGTTGTCTCATGTAGGTATCGAGAGCCTTTTTCTGAAAAGTCTTTGGCTTGAACTTTGGGGCTCCATGCTATCCAGGCCCCAAAACTCCAGTTACCTAAATAGTAGGTTCCTAACCACATATGATGTACTCCAGTAGCCCATGATTTAGGTAACTGGGGAAGGGAAGCTCCAGGTAGGAGCAGCAAGTTTGGGCTTTTGAGCTTCGGCGGCTGTAGCGGGCCATCCAACCGAAGCATTCAAGTCACTAAGGGACCCAACAACGGCTGTTCAGAGATTCCACCGGTATAAGCTTTGAGACAACAAGCGTCATATTGAGCTAAGGCTTATCGTCTTATTGAACCCAACAAGGCCAGCACCGTTTTGTCCAGAGGGCGAGTACTTTTGTGAGTTTCGGTGCTGTCTTGAATGATATGGCTGAATCTTGAGGCTGCCATGCGTTGCTTCGGCCTGGACTCGTCAATGCCCAACTCCAAGAATTGAACTCCCTGCATGCGAAACTCGAAGAAACAAATACCGCTAGTACATGAAGCCAGTCTTTGTAGAAAGTTGAGCAGACGGCCCGCCTATGTAGCCAGCCTCCTGGCCACCTGTGTTATTTTCGGGTGTTTGTTGCTGCTGTCTGCTGCTTGACTCTGCTTCATGGCAATGACCCTGTCAGCACTCGCTGGAACACCAGGCGCCTGTGGGCACGACTGTGTTGATGTGTGCTTCGGCCTTCAGGCCTCAGTAGCCTGCCTCCCTAAACCCTAAACCCTAAACCCTAAACCCTGCTTTCGGAAGTTTTTCGCACCCCGGAATGGAGACACACCGTCCGCTCGAATCAACAGGTTCCACTAGCTCAAGCCTTTGTGTTAGACGTCGGACTTGTGTTGTTGGTTGACACCATAGTGCACCTCGATGCCAGACTGCTACCATGCGTCAACGAGTATAGTGACCCAAAAGGCTCCAAAACACCGGAAACTCATAAAAGCACATGGGTGTTGATCGCGAGCCTGGCGTTGACAACCTGAGCGTGTGCAGCATTAAGGCATACAGTAAGACTTCGGCCTGAGGGTTCACATGGCTCATACGGCTTAGGGGAACTGTAGAAATGAAGCCGTACACATATGCGCATATATGCATGCATGCATACAATATGTCCATGGCATCGCCAGTACCGAAAGTTGAAACGTCAAACGACCCTGGGTACCTTAAGCACATGAACCGGTACCCAGCACTCTGAACTGTCTAACCTAAAGTCTGAAGCATACGTCGGGGTCTACATCAACGATGTTAGCAAAGACTCGGATGCCTAGCCTGAACATTCAGGCCACTACCGACCCAAGCTTAGGGCTTGACGGCATAGCCAAAGCATATGTCCATAACATATTGTACATGGGAACTACTTGATGTTGGTATGGCTTCGAGGGTTCGTTCAATTTGCAATCTGTGTACCGCAAAGGATGCCAATGCTCTGCTTGTCGCCACGATCTTTTCCCTCAAAACCTACCAAAAACATGCTTGGCGAACACCAGCTCAGGGATCTGCAGAGCTGGGATCCCTCCAGCTTGGCAGGCAGGGCTTGGGGTTCAGGAACCCAGGGTTTCCTACATCCCAACCCTCCGGATCCAAACCGGTCCCCTCAAGTCCTTGCAAGCCCAGATGCCATTGGTGCCCGGGTTCCGTAGGGCGCCAGGACGCGTCCACGAAACCGGCGACCTGCTCGCTTTCGGGCTTGGGACTGTGAGGTCTATCAAGTTAGCGGTTTGGGGTCTGCGATGTTCTTTCTGAGTGTTGAACTAAAGCGCCTGGTGCCCTAAACACCACGTGAGGGGTCCAACAGAGTACCCTGAACAATCGTAAGTCGATCTGAGGGAATAAGTTGGGGGAAAGTTTACACAGGGATGGAGAAAGTCTCGAAGGCAATGGGACTAAGTCGAGCAGTCCGGTCGCTGCTGCACAACACCAGAAGTGAAATGACATGCACATGCCAAAACCAGCCAAGATTCCTATGGTATGCAACACACGACATGTATTGGCTGGCGTGGCGGCTCTGAGTATACCATTGACCTCAAGCCACCAAAACCTTAAACACAACAGCCGTATATGCTAAAACCCAGAACCATAAACCGTCCTTTGGCTTCGTAGCTGCTTGATGTATCTTGATGTGGGTATCATTACATCTGCCCCGAGGTTCCAAGAATTCAAGCCTTCACGCGAAATCTCAGTCTCCGTTGTGGATCGAGTGACAACCACTTTAAAAGGCTGTACCCTGAATTATGGGACCATAACCTACTTTGAAAAGGGTTTTGTACCATAGCTTGTCATTGCCCTACTACGCTATACCGAGGCTATACCCATATTGATAACTATGGGACTGTAACCTACCGCGTCGTATGGTTTGCGCCAGTAGTCCAGCTCCGAGCCCCGAGAAAGTCAGCGAAGCATGCAAATGTAAGGTTTAGGGTTTAGGGTTTAGGGTTGAGGGTTTAGGGTTTAGGGGTAAAGGGCTTACATTTTTGGGCTTTTGACAGCGTCAAAGCTTTGCAAGCTCAGCGAGCATGCAATTACGCCCGTAAGCCTGCACACATGAATTCACTTCTTGCAAAAAAACATGCCGCCAACGTAAATCTCCAACAAACGGACAGTCAACAACATTTAGCATGTGTAATCATTTGGTCATCCCTTTTGGGCAAGTCTTACCTCAGCTCCGGTCTCCACACCGATCTCTAGGTAGTAGGCACCCGACCTCTGCTCGCGATTCCGCAGTGCTTGGTGGGGGCTGGGTTTGTCGGTTGGGGGTTTTGGGCTGGTTGAAGGCATCTGGTTTGGAAGACAGGCCCCCACTCGTTCGGCTCAGTGCGAGGGGCGATCTAGATTGTCATCCGGTTTGAGCTGTCCTCAAGGTTGTGAACTCCTTTCAAGCAGGACTCCTTCCTTAGACCACAAATTCCACAGCCCTGCGTGACTGGTCCTTCATCAGTTCAAGTCCACACATCAGAAACCCAAGTGCTCTGAGGTTCCGGCACCATGCGGTTGTCGGGCATGCCTACCTGGGCGGCTTCATGTTTAGCCGCTATTCGCACTGTTCCTTCAGTGTGCAGTGTTCCCTACCCGCGGCGGCTGCTAGACCGAAACCGAAATTGCCCATGCCACCATCCCAAGCCCCAAGCCCTCATCCCAAGACCCTAGAGCCTCAAAGTCCGCAATAGACCTTGAAGCAGCTACTAACCCAAAGTCCTAAGCCAGAACCAACCAGGCGACGCCAAAAACCTTGCACACCTCAGCCTTCAAAACCTCAAGCCTCAAACCGTATAGACGAAAACACCAGCGAACCCTCGCGCCGGCAATCCTGAAAACCACTTCCAACAACCCTTTAGGGTTTAGGTTTAGGGTTTAGGGTTTAGGGTTTAGGGTATACCCCAATGCACTGAAGCTTTTAATTTCCTGAGGGTCCCGGCCACTCCAGGCGAAAGCTCCACCAACCTGGTAGCTAGCCAAGCTGGTGGCCTACATCAATAAAGGCACAGGGCTATGAAATCTAGCTGGAATCACCATACGGAAACTATAAGGCCCTTGCAGCGCAGGCTATAGCGCAGTATTCAGACCTCTACTCCAAGTGCTTTGTTTTTTGGTGGGAGGTTTCAGGTTGTGTAAGGGTTTGTCGCTCAGGTTTAGGGCGTGGGGCTGTGTAGGCTTCAGGATTTACCCATAGGCCCCATAGTAGTTCCTTCTTGGGATTACCTTGGAGGATTCTAAATATGAACCCCAAAAAGGAACTACTAAACCCTAAACCCTAAACCGTGTTCTATGGGGCCTATGGGTTCTTGTAGGATTCTAAATATGAACCCCCAAAAACGGAACTACTATGGGGCCTATGGGTTTAGGGTGCAGAAGCCTCGGCCTTGCTTGGTCCTAGCGCTCTTCGGAAGGTGGGCCCTGCACGATTTTGATGCGGATTCTCAGGGCTTTTTAAGGGTTTCGTGCTTATAGGCTGGGGGCAACTCGCGTGTATAGGATCTAAGCGGGGTGTGAGACATAGTAACTTGAGGGGGCTTCGAAATGATATCCCCTGACTGCCCCTGCGTATTTCTATTGTGATCTTGTTCTACATATGGGTGGTTGTCAAAATTAGGGTCCCTTTTTGGGTACCCTAAATAATAGGTGCCGTATTATAATAAGGACCCAAAAAGGGACCCTAATTTTAACAACCACCCATATCACATTCGAGTGTGGGCTTGAGCAGCTCAAGGGCTGGAGGGTGTTGGGCTTGGATCGCGAGGTTTGAGGGTTTTGGGTTAGGACTAGGATTTGTGGTGTTTGTGGTGTGGGGGGCTAGGGCATTTGGGTTTTGATGCTTGGAGCTGTTAGGGTTTAGGCTTTGGCCTTTTGGGTCGTAAGGTGAGAATTCGGCTTTGTTCTCAGGTTGTCGGGCGTCGGGTTGTTGCTTGAGCTCTCAATTTTTGAGATGAGGCGAGGTAGGCTTCTGCAGTGAAGTTGTAAGCTTAGCGTCGAAAGTCTGAGGCTCTGGGGGGACTTCCGGCTGAAATTAATGCTTGGGATTTCCAGTTTGGGCTATTTGTCATAGCTGACAGCTGGGCGCCCCTCTACCGATTATTACGACCGACACTCAACAAACTTTCAATCATGAGTACAAATCCGTGAGGCTAAAGCCCCCACTGTTGGGAGCACAACGTCCTAACATCCCCAAACTTTACAGACAGTGTCGTCTGATCGTCTGTTCCATTTCAACTGCACCCTCCTATCTTACATTATATGGGGGTCTCCGAAAATAGGGGACCCTAATATTGTACCCCAAATAGTAGGATCCCTATTATAAGGACCCCAAAACAAGGTACCCCCTATTTTCGGAAACCCCCATATTCGACTCTACTATCGAACTGGGTTGCTGCGTTCCCTGGCCCAGAAATGGCGAACCTTCTTAAACCAGGGCAGGACTACTTACACCCAACAAGGCTAAGGTCACCTACTTTGCAACTGAGCACCCTGTGTATACGTATATGTATCTGTGTATGTATATGTATAAATAGAAATAGATATATGAATATCTCGTACATTATGACACCGGTTGTCGACATGATATGATATAATATACGTAGTAATATGGTCTAACATATACCACGGCCTTGCAACTTTGATCCGAGCCGAAAGGCTCTGAGCAGCCGCGGAAGCGGCGATCCGCTTGCGCCAAGGTGGTGGAGGAGGTGGTGCTGCCGCCTTGAAAGGGGATTTGTAAGGGTTTAGGGTTTAGGAACCCTAGTATAGGACCACATAATACCCCTTCAAGGGGACACTATTCTGAAAAAACCTTAACGGATCTCTTAAAGGGGGCCCTAGTTCGAACCCTATAGTGCCCCTTAAAGGGGGAAGCGGGGGGGTGCAGTTTCCTGTTGCGTTGTGCGGCTTCGGGAGTCGTGCTTGCTTGGGAGGTTTCGGCTTGCTACTTCCTCCAAGGGGCGGCTTTCACAGGGCACCTCCGGTGAAGTGCCATTCAGCTCGTCCTTGGACGGTTTTCACGATCATGAGTACTTGAAGGGTTTCTGTTAGGGTTGCTATATGGGGGTTTCCGAAAATNNGTACCCTAAATAGTAGGATCCCTACTATAAGGAACCCCAAAATAAGGTACCCCTTGTTTTTGGAAACTCCCATATGGGTAGTAGAAAGATTCGAATAAAGGATTTTTGAGCCCGGCATGGAATCGTTAGGTCTAGTGATTGGCTGCCTGGCTAGCAGGGCTGAGAAAACCGTTCTGGTAGTCTCTTTCTTTTTTTCACGATACACTGTACACCGCAGACCATGCTATACTTGTAGGTCCATTCGGGAATCTTACAAACTCTGCGGTCTTCGATCCTGCACTTCGTTTTGCAACAACCTTTGTTGCATTGGTCTGCACCTACATAATCCTCAATCTCTTATGCTCTCGTTCCAACGGTCTACGCTTCAGGATTCGGCGGGCAATGCCCCCTGAAGTCCACGATGTTCTAGAAGCCGGGTTTGGGTTTAGGTTCTGGGTCTCTAACCCGCCAAGCCCAAACACCACTACCATCTCCACAACAGACTGGAACATTTTCGCCGCTTTGACTCTCCTTAGACCTGGTACAGAGCACCTTCTAGCCGGTGCAAACTAGGAGCCTGTAACACAAAGCGTTCGAACCTTGTAATCACAACAGCAAGCTCTCCTAAAGCTTCAGTTTCCCGTTCTGAATCTGGTCAAACCATGATGCGGAAGCAGTACAATCACAAATCACCCGTAAAATGGGCATGTTGTTCGTCTAAATTTTAAATTCTACAGCAACACAAGCATTTGCAACCCCACATCCATTCTGGCAATGCTAAACGAAAAAAAAGCCCTACAAATTGTAAAGCCCTACAGAACCATAAAACACCTGACGTGAGATGCTTCACCCTAAACCCTGGTATTAATAGTATATTCGAGCCTTTATACAAGCCCTCCGGAGCCCGAGGGTCGCAGAAGATGACTTCGGCCGTGCAGACAGTACTGCGGAGCTCGGGCCAGGCAAGGCCATCGCACGTGAGGTTCACCAAGCCTGTCAGGTTTTTTCCCTCTCGCATGGCAGAGATCGAAGCTCACAAGCGAGGTTCAATGGGAGACACCAGGGGAAATTACGCAATATGGTGCTGTCAGGTTTGGGTACAGGGTGTTCACCAAACCTGTGGTTTCCTGTAGGAGGAGGGCCGGTTTTTTCATTTTCCAATGGCCTAAATAGCCGACTGTGCCAGGTTTGAGGTTTATGGCATAGGGTTTGAGAACTTATCTAGTGTTACAGGATTAGAGGTAGGACAATTTGTGATTTTTTGCAGGGTTTCAGGATCAGGGCAGGGCTTTCGTAATGAAGCCAGTAAGTTCCACATGATCTCCTTGGATCTACGCGCATCGGGCAGGGCTTACAGCATCGCTCGTTCAAAGCCGCTGGCGACACCTACAGCAACCTGTCTTCTCCAATCCTCTCCCGAGACAATCCCAAGAGATCAAATCCTGCAAAGGCAACAGCAGCGGCAAGCTATCCTAGTAAGATCGAGTTGAAGCCGTTCAGAAACCTCGAAAGCCCAACCCGTCACACAAAATAACACAAACCCTAAACCCTGAACGCGAAAACCCTCCAGGCCCCCGTCCGGCCTTCTTTTTCGCAGGGCACACTGCAGTTCTCACCCTGCTCTAGACCTCGTAGCAATATGCGCAGGATAGGGGCCTTGAGTCCATAACCCTAAATGAACCTCTTATAATGATTGCAGTATGGGTTTTAGGGTTGCCAAGCTCAGGGCAGCAACATCTCAGGGTACAGGGATCCGGGGTTTAGAATTGACTTCGAGATGTTTCGGTATCTCATGCAATTTTAAGGTTGAGTACTCAATCCCCAGCAGTGAGCTCAGGGTTTTGATCTGGATTATCTCTGTCAAAATTGCCATTGATGCTATTGCTACTTCGGGCAGTACTGCTGTTCTGTACTACCACCACGGACAAGAACTACACGCGTTATTCGTGTTATGGCGCTTCTTGGCCACTAGAGCAACGAATGCTGCCATATAATAAAAGGGCCTTAATGATTAGAATAGGGTTGTGGTGCCCATTATACTATAACTAAAATAAGGAACCCCCAAAAAATAATGTTGGCAATTATTTAGGCCCCTATATTACCCACATCCTGTAGGACATTTTACGAGTTTCCCGCATCCCGTAGCCGGGTCTCAAGTTCCCAACTGCCCAGCCTGCGTCTACACCACCTAGAAGAGGCTCCCCAAAACCCCTGCATTAAGGAACCCACCCCAAGCAATAGGGTTTAGGATTTAGGGTTTGGGGTTTAGGGTTTAGGGTTTAGGATATATGAGAGACAGCCGCAGCTCCGGAATTAGGTTCCCTCCTTGGGGAGCTCAAAGTTTTCGTGCCAGAGGCGCGGCTTCGTCCATCACAGGCCTCCGGTGACGAAACCAAGCAGCCTGTGACCTTTGGGTTTTTGTTAATTTTTAGAGGAGGGGGGGGGGTGCAGGGTTTAGGGATTTGGTTCTAGGAGTTTGGGATTTCGGCTCGCAGTGGTTGACGATATGTTGTTTTGGGTGGCCTTGCCATCGGAGCTGAGACGAAGACAGAGCCAGCGAGAGAGAGCGAGCGAGAGAAAGGGAGAGAGGACAGAGATGGAGAGCACACCAGCAAAATTGCTCTAGCTGCAGTACACACTTCCCCCTAAAGCCGCATTGGGGCTTTAGTACATGCCTTGGCCCTGATCTAGACTATACTCTGGCCCCTCTCATGAAAACCTCTAGAACCCCCACAGAAAACTTAAAAAAGCCGTGTAAAAGCTCATGAAACCCTGATACAAAAAAAACCCTACAAACCCCGATTCTAAGTCACATCAGTCGCAGGGCGCAGGGGAATCCCGGACAGGTCGGCAGGAAGTCGTAGCCCCGCCCTCGCTGGCCGTCTGGCTGCCACTCCTGGCCCCGGAGAGCCCAAGGCCATTGAGACTACCGGAGAGTTGTAGTATTTTGTAACTACAACTACGAGGGATTATTCGCATGGTATAATATAGAGATAGTAGCAGCAGCAGCTGTAACGAGTATGCATGGAACAGGGACAACACAAAAACTGGAGAACTCAGAATCTGCCCCCGAAATCTGAAACTGCAAGATAGGATAACAGTGGGCTCATGCTCTTGGAGCGCAGGGCTGAAATGCTTCATGAGGGACCAGCCAGCTCGAGAACAAAGCGAGCCAGGGTGCCTCCTGCAAGCAGTCGTAAGCTGTGGCTCCTGCCATCGGCACCTGAAACTTCTGGGGTTGCGAAATGCTCGGGCTCCATCGTTGCATAGGGTCCTAAAGCTTGAAGGATTACGGCACTTAGGCTTCGTGGCCATTGACGTGTTAACAAAATACGTTCCAAGCAACTTTCGATGGGAGCATGCCGATACAGCATGCAGAGGTGAAGCTACGCATGGTTTAATCTCTCATCGCTGGGAAATCCCATCGAGTCCAAAGGGTTGATGTCGGCACAGCTCTTACCCTGAATAATGAAAGGCCCTACTATGCAGGATCGGCTTCCCTGCTGCAATGCTGCAAGACTTTGGTGTTGACCCTTCTCTCCCAGTGCTATCACTCGTGCAGGTGAGTGCGCACGGCTTTATTGTTGAGCCAAACAGCTACTTGTCCGACAGCCTGGATGTTGAACTTTGACTGACTCGACTCAGACTTCACAGTTCCATCCTGTCATCATGACGATGATGTGTATGTTGCTGGTGGTGACGTTGATGATGATGATTGTGGTGATGGTAACTATGATGATGGTGACTACATGGCAGCCTACGCCGATGATGCATAAAATGCTGGTGATACCAACCCTCCAGAAAGGACTGCACTCAAGCGACCAGGGTTGCTCTTGTCCAGGCTTCCTGCGGTGCGAAGGGAGGTAAAGAATCGACCGAGCTGTGGAATAATTAGGCCTCATGTTATTGCTCCGGGCGTGCGGTGCAGGGCTTTCGGGTTCCAGGTTAAGCTCATGTGGCTTTTGTCTAGGAGTCTCGGCATCTGGGGTCTCACTCAATAGATCAAACGCACCCGTGCACGCATAGATCAAACGCACCCGTGCACGCAACGACAGATGCACAATGCAAGCTCAGTGCAGTTTAAGATGACAGAGGCCAACTCTCACTGATCCTGGCAGTTCCACTTGCTTATCTGCACATAGCTTCGCACTGGAGCCTTCACCTGTTCGAGCCCTGACTCGACGTCTCACCTATGGAACCCCTTTGTGTTAACAAACTGTATGTTTCATGGTGATTTCAAGAAACTATCTTCAAAAAGTGTTTAGAGCGTTCCAACCAAAAAGTAGGTTCAGGGAAGGTTAGCATGCTGCGACGGTTCAGATCTTCAGCCGTCCTGCCCGTCTGAACTCCACCCATAGACCTGGTCCAGGAGGAACTCTTTTCAGGCTTGTTCTTTAAAGGGCCCCAACAAGAATGTTTACAACCATGTACCTCTACAAGACCACGACAGAATCACAACGAATCCCAATGTGTCACCGAATTTGTTCTATTCAAGGGGTCAGGGTGAGGGTGAACCCTGCGGCTTATACGGTTGTAAGGACTAAGGGTGATTAAGGCTTACCTTGTACGGAGCTTATAGGGTTATGTCTGGGTCCAGGGGTGAAGCGTCTAGGCATTCGAATTGGTTTGCTAGGGGCAGCTGAAAGCCTCAGGTGGATCGGGGTTAGGGTTTATATGGCTCAGGGTTTGGAGGCCGGATCTCAAGCACGAATCGAAGGGCATAACAAATTATGATAGTATAATATACCCCAAGACCCTATTCTAATTATTATGGCCCCTATATTCTACCTGGCAGCCGAAACTGGGACGTGTGAGCGAATTTCAGGACGGCTATCCTTGCGGTGTGGAGGGCCTGAGTTCCAGGATCCTATGCGACAAACTTGGTACCAGTAATGTTGGAAGACCAGAACCATGAACCGTAAGTGCGGATGCCTCTACCGCCCCCCCCCCCCTAACCTAACCTGAACCCGATCAGGATGTGGAACTGTGGTCTATACTGGCTTGTGCTTACGGTTCATAGGGGCTTTCCTTTGCGAGGCATCAGCCCAAGATTCCACCTGCGACCCCAAAACCTCACTCCCGATGAAACACCAGACGAAAACCTGATTCGCAAGCGCGACACACACTCAGGCCCAAAGGGAAGTAACCCAACAGACCGCAAGAGTTTAGATTTCAGGGTGCAGGGCTAGTCTCATATATATATATATATGCTACATCCTGAACCCCAAAGGCCAAACCCTAAACCGCCCTAAACCGTCGGAACCCGCCGAGTAGCCACTGTGGCATTGCCGGAGATGGGATCGGTTTGGAGGATGACGGCCGGGAAGGATGGGGAGGGATCGCACCCAGGATGCCTTTTCAGGGTTGTAGCATTTGGGCCATGGGCTTGTGGGGTTTGGGTTGTAGGGCTTTAGAATTTGGGTGTTAGGGTTATGGGGTCTTGGCCTTTGGGTTTATCTACACGTAGAGCTAGGCGTTAGTGTTCCAAAGCATAAGGTTTCAGGACTTTGAAGGTGGAGGGTTTAGCTAGGGACTTCAACGTGTAGGGCCTCACTGTTAGGTTTGCGGATCGGGAGGGCTGGGGTGGGTTCAGAGTTTGGGAAGAAGGGACCAAGGCTCGGTTTGTGTCTATCATGATTGGCTGCTTGAGCCCGGACCCGAAGTGAACTTGAAACGTCGATAACTATAGGCGCCCCAAACCCGAAAGACGGAACGCCGGGTTGCAGTAGGACTACAACGGACGAGTCTGCACAGCGGGCGCTGAGCTCCAGGTCCAACCGCACTTCCCCGACGAAGTCCTTGGGAGGAGGCCCCGGTTGGTCTAAATGGGGTTGTTACCTTCAACGAGCTGTTTGTCGCAGGCGGGGGCGGCAGTGGTGGTGCATGGCCGGAGAGCATGGGGTAAAGGTCCCTCGCTTACAGTTGCCCATCCTGAGAATCTTGGACTGGAAAAGAAACGCCTTGAACCCTAGACCTTGTATCTTCGAATGGCGAAACATGAAAACCGTGACATATGCCCAGGTAGAAGATCTGGGACAACAAGACTCTCAACGGTCGAAATCGGATCGATCCACCTTGACCTTCTTGTGTAGAGTCGAACAAACCCCTTCATTTCTAGGGCCAAGGAAATGTGGTGCACTGAACTGCCGGCTGCCATCCCAGGCGCACTCCACGTCAGGGGCCACAGCCAAAACAGGGCCAGGCTCTTCACTAGGATCATTCATTCCTGGCATTGCTGGGTGGACGAGCCCATGAAAGGGGCTCGCCCCACTCCAGACATGGAGCCCGCGCCAAAACTCCCTTGGTGCCAATAGCCTGTATCTTCCTCCTTGTCCGGTACCAACACTCAGCTCTTCTTCTCACTTGCAGCGTCGAATTTCGAATTCGGGGTGTAAGGCCATAGTTCTAGAGCTCCAGACAAACAGGCGGCAGGGGTCAGAAGACTCAAACAATAGCTTTCTAGCACTGCTCGCAGTAGCAGCACGAATCAGGCTGTTCGCGGCCCAAGGGTGTCGAGTTCAGTTCCGGCTCTGCAGTCAAAACTAACCGAACTCAGGGGGCCCCTACATTCAAGAATTTGCAGACAATCCCGAAATCGGAAGAAATATACGAGCCAAGGTATACGTAAGCTCTTGTTTGTGATTATGTTTGACGGGCGGGTCTGTGGGTACATGGCAGACTCCGACGCTTTTTTTTCCACTGCTGGAGTTGGTCCGTAGACACTGCGAAGCCGCGCCACAATCAAACCATGAATCCGAGCTTGACTGGCTCTGAGCCGTCGTCTGCGCAACCGCCCGGACACTCTGGATCACGAACCTCGCTGTAGACTTTCCGCAGCGAGGCATCCGAGTCAAGCGCCGGTAACTTGCTGTTGCGAGTATGTGTGCAGCATGGTTGTCCATCGTTGCCCCGCAGGCATCGCAGGGCTTTATGTCCTTGTATTGCAACGAACCATGATGTCGTCGTCGATCGACTTCCCACTCGGCAGCAAATCTGTGATGTCAGGACGCTCTAGAAGCTCTAGAGCGGTCGGCAGACACACTTTCCATCAAGGATCCGCACCCCTGCGCAGTCGGCACCTTGGAAGCACAAGCGCACAAAGAGTGAGCCAAAGGGAGTATAAGAAGTATGCTTGACATGGTAATTACATGTCTTTCCTGACACTGTCTTGCGTGTCTTTCATGATGGCTGTCATAAACCGGGAAGCACCTGTTGAAGGCTCACCAGTGGGGTCTTACATCTTGAACAATCCTCGAAAAGCCTAGGCCCCTGAAAGTGCCCCAGGATTGCCAAAATTGGCAAGTGGTAGAAGCAGTCTCGCTAGTGCTCGCCCAGGCGACTGGCGCAGGCCTGCAAAACAAGAGGCACGTAGCAACCACTCAAGGCAACATGAAGTTATCGGGGATCCTGTCATGTCTCGACGGGTCCTTCTCCCCAGACATCTTTGCAAGACCGAAATTCTCACCTGAACCGCCGACCCTCAAACTCCGACTCGTCTTCTCACTGGAACTGGAACCGTCTCCAAAGATCTCCGAGCCTTCTTTGGTTTAGACTCCGCTTTCCCACGCTGGAGGAACCATGATACTTTGAAGGGTACTGTGAGGGTCTCCGTGTAAGCGAATGAAGCCCGTGGCCCACTCTTCGACAGGATTTGCTCATGCTTGAACAACTGTAGGAGGTACATGGACCGCTATGCCGTGCTGGTTCACTGGCATCATCAGTAGAGGGCTCAGCCCCGCCACAGATACTTTGGAGGATCCTCACTTCAAGACACCCTAGCTTGGGGATTCGCAGTGGCTAAGAAGCCCCAAGTAGCCACCACGACCGCCACGACCCGTATGAGAGTAAACAGGCGAAGATGAACCTGGCTTTGAAGTAACCAGGGAGAAAAAGGTATAGACTTTTATTTCATAATGGCTCCTTTAAGGAACAGGTCCAAAAAACAAGTATTCAAGTATGGAACTCCAAAGCCCAGTGAAACTCAAACAGCTCCCTGACTCTGTGAATCCTTGAGATGGAGCCCTTTGCCTCGGCAAACTGTGCCATGCTCTTCATCATCTTGGAAATCGCAACTGCCAAACTGGCGAAACCCCCGAATTCGACATTCAACCTCCGCCCTGATCGGAATCAAGACCCTAAACCCGCTAAACCGGAATGTGCCTGGTAGTACACCGGCTCCACGGCTAACTGCTGTACCGAAGGTTCTTGTGACAACCTCGGCGTGAAAGCACCCTCCGTTGTCTGAAAGATGGTGTACCGTCAAGCCCCAACAGCCCACACAAGAACGCAAAAAACCCTAAACCCTAAACCCTAAACCCTCATCCTGTACCCAAAGACTCGCTCCACAGGCGACTCATCTCTGCCAGCCGCGGCCGCGGAGGCCAAGGCAAAGGCGGCTTGGGGAGGCCGGTAGGGACCTAAAGAACGGAGTTTAGGGTTTAGGGGTTTGGGGTTTAGGGTTTAGGGTTTAGGGTTTAGGGGTTTAGGGGTTTAGGGTTTAGGGTTTAGGGTCTAAACAACTTGCGCATCAACAAATTCTGAAATCACTACTTCTAGGGCTGAGTAGAGGTGGCCTGAAGAGCGGATTGTATTGGCAATTTCGGGCTCAGAGAGCTGCTGCAGAAGGGTGTGGGTTTAAAGGGTTTTGCAATGTTTTAGATATGGTTTAGGTCAGCTTAGAGAGTGTAACATATTCCGAGATGGGTGGGGCATTACTGCACGAACATGAACTAAAGGCTTTCGACTCTCACTCTCGCACACAGCAGGCAAGGCTCCTAGGCTTAGGGCATAAGTGGGGTTTAAAGTTGAGGGCCTGTGGTTGAGTGTATGGTTGATAGAGCAATGCAAGCCGATGAGAGCTTTGTGGGGACTACCGGGTTGGAGCTCTCATGTCAAATCCGAGGCGTGAAGTCACATCAGTCCCCAATGCGAGCTTTTAGCTTTCAGGGTGTCAGCAAGTATCAAATGGTCCGTGAAAAAAGCCAAACCCAAAGCAAACCCTGGAGCTAAGACCCTCAACTATACTGAACTCAGAACAAGTTGGGGAGGCCCAGGGGGCTGCCCTTAACCCTGAACCCAAGTGGATGTTGCTGAGCTGCTCCTGTCGCTGCTTTTGCCCAGGCAGATTTGAATGCTTGCTGAGACCTGAGCCAGGAAAAGGATCAAGCCCTCTCGACTCTATTTCAAAACCAGACCCACTTCGGGTCCCAAGGTTTAGCGAAGGTAGGAGGTCACGAGGAATGCACGTGGTCCCTGGTGCCCAGAACACGAAACTTATCCCGAAAGCTCGTCATGGTGTTACGAGATAGGGGTGTGGACAGGTAGTGGTTCTCTGTCTATCTATCTACCGATCTATCTATCTACCTTTCTATCTATCTACCTGCCTATGTATCTATCTATCTATCTATTTAATCTAATCAAACCCAGTGTAATCTAATCTAATCTATCTATGACAACTAGAACATCCGAAGCCCTCTTTTCGCTTCGTGTACATTTGAAACGCTGGGCTGCCCCGCAGAGGAAAGAACTGCTCGGTCGTTAAGTTGTGGCCTTGAGTAAACGATGGTTTTGGGGATGGGGCGATAGGTTTAATTGCAAGGGTTAGGAGTTACATTCTCACAACTCTAGGATCTTATGTGTGGGGAGGGGGTTGTGTTATTTGTGATCCGTTTTATTTTTCTGTCGGGCGGCTGAAGGAGCTCAGGATGCAGGGCTGAGGGAAGGAGGATTTGGGGGATACGTGCGAAGAATGCCGAGAAACAACCTCAACATTCGAAACTGTTCAAGCAGGTTGTTGTAGAGTTAGGAACTTCATGTGCCGAGCGCCGCTTCAGCATTCATGATGACAGATGGCAAGGGCTCCATTTGACAGAGATGTCGCCCCGGGACGTTTGATTGAGAGTTGTCGGCTTCCAAGCATCCCGAAGAGCCTTGAACGAGCTGGAGCACCATAGGTTTACACAGCCGGGTCGGATTCAAGAAACAGGTGTTAAATCTCCGAGAGGCGCGCTGTAATTGGGCTGTATGCAAAGCTTACTAAGTAGACGACAACTCCAACTAACACCGATAGAAGCCTAAGCTATGATTTTCTATAAGACTAGAATATACGATGACCAGAATACTACATCTACTACCCTGCAGTACTCAACAAGGAGGAGTGAGAGCCTTCAGGCTTTAGCCCGGCACAAACGTCGGATCCGGGATTGCATTTCCGGTGGACCACAATTCTCGCAAGGTTCCTGGTGCTTTCAGCTTGCCTGAAAGAAACCTCAGATAGGGCCCTTGGAGCCCATGATACTATACTTAGATGCGACATTAGAATAAGGGTCCTCCAAAATAGTATCGGTACTTACATCATATTTAGGCCCCTACATTAGCTCCGAAAACTCTATATGAAGAAGTTGGGGCTGCTCAGGCTTGAGATGCAGGCAGCTGCACAACTGGATCTTCATGTCACCCTGGATATGAACATCACTTCCCCAAAACCACGCTGCAAATCCGCAGCAGTCGATCTGCAATATGCCGGGTGAGCAAGTCGGAGCGGCTTTTCGCTTGGAGGGGACTCTGAAGAGCTGACCAGTGATCCTTCCAGCAACTAGACAACTAGACGAGTCGCCATGCCTTAATCATCCCACCGCGCCAAGCCACCAAATGCGAATGGAAGGCAAAGCCTAGGGCTTGCTCCCCCCCTTGATCCCACTGCCGACTAACAAGTATATAAATGGAACCATACGCCCCCAACGCTACACCGTGGTGCGGTGCAATTGGATACTTGAACAAGCAAGCCCCAAGCCAAAACCGCCACAACCCTAAACCTCGTGGCATTCTCCCATCTTCGGGCTTCCCTCAGTTCCGTGCCTTCGGGGACGGCTTCGAGAACAATAGGATCCAACAGCCGCAAGTTTGCCGCCTCTGCAGCGGCCGAAACAGCGGTGTCTGGTCGGGTTTGAGCGTTGGGGTTCAGGGCTGTAGAGGTTGAACTTGGATGGATAGACTACAGGGCCTGGGGGGTTCAGGTAAGGGGCTTGTTAGAGATACGTCTTTGAGAGTTGTCCTCAGAGCTTGCTGTGGCATCCAGGCTTTTGACCCCAAACTCAACAGAAAGAAAGCCTAAATGAAATCAACCCGCAGCGCTTCTTTGGGACGCCTCAAAGCCCTGAACGCCCCCGAGGCGGGTTCCAGATTGGAGCGCCCGGAGGGGAGAGAGAGAGAGAGAGAGAGAGAGAGAGAGAGCGAGAGTGGATGGAAGCTAACGGAACGGTCGTCGGAGTAAGAGTCGATGTAGATCTCTAGTGCTACATATGGGACTAAAACTCTATATGCTCTAAATCCGAAACCCTGCGCCCAAAAACCTTTGAAAGGAGTAGCCAAAAGTGTCGAAGACATCCGCCTGAATACCTTCGGAGAAGTTCGCACTCGGCATCATGCAGTTCACGGTGGCGGGGCCGCAGTTCCTCTCGTTTAGTGCGGCAGAGATCGTTGTCACAACAACAAGACGGCATCCTAACATGGAAATGAAAGCGATTTTTTGGGTAGTTATGCTAACGGTTTTTCTCACTCTGAGCTACACAGTGGTCAGGAAGCCCCTCTACAGCCAACTTTACATCGCCCCGGACCGAGTTCTGGACCCTCAGCCCTGAGACCCGAATTTGAATCCTGGTCCCCGAAGCCTCGGAGCTCTGCAACATTCAGCGATTTGAGGGAGTTCAGCGGTTTCGGGTGTATAGAGCTTGCTTTGCAGAAATCTGCCCGGCTCCGAACGACAGCCTCCTCAACGACGCCCCCGGCTCTTCCAAATGCATGGCAGAAAGTCTCAGTCTCAGTCTCAGTGTCTCTTCCAAATCTCAACAACGACCCTGGCAACCGCCAAATCTCGATCACATTAGGCTACATCCTCATCCATGGGCCTGGGTACACAGACCCGCAGCTCGATTCCGCTACCCGAAATCTCCTAAACCCTACAGATGGACCTCTAAATTCTAAATGAAGCTCCGACGTGTTCGCTCGGCGAGTTGGGTTCGGGCGCAGAACCTGCTACCTAGAACCAGAACCCCGTGCACCCGCATCCGATCCTTCGAATATGAGTTATAACGACTAACAAAACTTGGATCACGTAGAGACGTAGACGAGAAGCTCTGCATGGTGACACCTCAACCTCTCTTATGCAGTCTAAGCCTAAGCCCAGGATCCAAGAGAACCACGTCACAAAATGCAACCGAACTCCTGACTTCCAAACCCAAAGGCTCCATGTACCTTTATAGTAGATGCATAGGCCCTAAAGGGGTTCCTATATATAGGTACTTTAAGGCCTAAGTATATACTATAGGGGCACATGGAGCCTTAAGGAAACCCTAATTCGCCGTCAACTTCGAACTCCATGTTCTGAAGGTCCAGGATGAAATATCGGGGTTGTGCGCCCACGCCAGGGGCCAGCCTCGCTTCAGACCTCGGATCATTCGACGGTTTTTGGGAGGGAGGTTTTCCCTAAGGCTCCATGTACCCATATAGTAGATACTTAGGCCTTAAAGTACCTATATAGGGACCCCTTTAAGGCCTAGGTATCTACTATAAAGGTACATGGAGCCTTTGGGTTTGGGGCTCAAAAAGGTTTAGAGGGCGGTCTTACCGGGGTTGTTGCGACGCTTTTCATTCAAGGCGTGTCGGGCCCAAGGCCACTTTCAGAGATTTCGCTCACAATTTCCAGAATAGATTTCCGCTGACACGCTCTAGACCCTCATGTGCTGTTTGTCCAGGAACAAACAGAGAAGAGAAATGAGTTTTTGTATATGCCCCAGGCCGTAGTCAAGCGCGTCACACCAGGAACAAACTTAAAACTTATCAATCTGGTTGGGTTTGTTTAAAGCCACGCTGCACCACTTGCGTAGGCGCAGTCCATCTTCAGTCCCGAAGAGTGCTTCGAAAAGCCCAACCAACCTGAATCGACTGTGCTCGTTTGGTCTGGCTTACGGCTCTTGTGGTTGAAGTAGGGTCCTGCAGGACTTAACCCCACAAGCCCCAAACCCCCATCACAAACCCTCAGATCCTACCCCCTCTTAGAAGCAATAGCTATGCAAACAATCTGCGACACGGCTTTTCCCGTCACCAATCGAACACAGGGCTCTTCGGGTGCTGGGGTATTCAACTTTGGTTTCTTATCTGTAGCTCTGGAGAGCAGCCGAGATGCATTACCACACCATGTGGATAATCTATGGTGACCAGTGGGTTCACCTCCATATACCCCAGGATGTTCTCCAACCTGTCGGAAAATCTTGGGATTGAATCTTTAGGGCAAATGGATACGTTCATTACAACCTGTTTGGTTCACTGGGCATTTTCCAGAGCTTTAAACCCCCATCTTTTTGACATTTCTGACTTCTTGTGTCGATGAACGCCGACGGAAATCATTGACCGCTATCTCATGAGCTGGTTCAAAGAGTTTCTTGCAGTCTTGTTCGGGATGTTTTGACAGATCGTTACACGGATCGGGTCGAGCACTCCTTTCATCCAAGAGACGTGTTCAGTCGCAGCGGCTGCTCTGGAAGAGATTTGCCCAAATCGCGCAAGGCGTGTGAATAGGTCTTTCGCGAAAGGAGCCGGGTCAGTAGCCTGGCTAGGTTGTACTCCACGTAGCTGTCGCCTGGCAAAGGCTAATCAACTCCATCAACGCGAAAACTACGCTTCAGGCTGCTGCAACGGCATCCTTGAATGGCGTTGACGCTCCTTCAACCACAAACCCTGAACAACAGGACCCAACTCGGCCTGCGACTTCTTGTGTTGCATTGTAGAAGTGCAGAAATACGGGCAGGAGGTGATCGAGGATGTCTGGCGTCCCCAAAACCCTCTGCGACGAGGAGGACCAGATCTCACCTCGCTTGGTTTCGGCTCTGGGCTAGACTCTGTCAGCACGATGGTTTTTGGTTTCTTCAGATCTGCTCAGAGACTCTGAAAAGATACGCTTGCTCGAAAGGGCCGAATCCCTACGAATTTCTCGCCGCAGCCTGAAATCCAGGCAACTTCAATCTTGGAGTACCGGGCTTTGAACAGAACGAAGCTGCAGGCGGCGGAAAGGTACAATATAGGTGCCGGAATATACGGTAAGTTTTTCGAGTGGATAATGGTTAGCGCTTGCCAATGAGGGAAAGTAACGAGCTTGTGTAATTGCGATGCTGCTTCTCGGGTCCTGCACTGCACCCTCTAAACCATAGGGCTCATGCGACGTTTTTGTTTTGATTTTCTGCGGTGTCATCAATGCCCAGAACAGTTGTCCTACTGGGATTTTGCTCTGGTGATGCTAGGTCACAGCGCAAGCAGCGGACGCCGTTGAATGCCACAGTTTCCTGCCAGTTGGACAAGTCAACCCGACTCCCTTCTCAAATCTAACCTGGAACCCCTATAGGGTCAATCCTCGACTGCGTGTCGAAGCATCTGGTAACATTGAAGTTCTACACTCGAAAAAGCAATGACTGACATGCACAAAGGAACGAGACTAGAGAGAGGGAGTGAGAGAGAGAGAG